GCCCATACTAGGCAGGTCCTTCATAATCCATCCCACTAACAGAATATTTGCCCAACTCAATTTTCAATTCTACCCAAGCAATAAGCTTTGATAATTCTATTAACTCATGTCAGTTTGGTCTGGCTTCGTAAACTCTCTCTCTCTCTCTCTCTCTCTCTCTCTCTCTCTCTCTCTCTCTCTCACACACACACACACACACAGCAGTCTCGTCACAAGAATTTATTATTTAGTTTCAGTATCGTGATCAAGAAGCTGATGTTTGCTTCCCTCAAATACACCTAACACACCACTCACGCACTCTCATGTTCGCACTAGTCATTATTCTTCACCACCATTACTATAATTACCTCTGAAAAACTTAATATATAATTATCGTGTTTACTCGTCCGCGGACCAACAGCGCGAGTATACTGCACGTCAAGAAAGATTCTTGATTCATGAAATTAATGGTATAGATGAGTAAGATATATGTGCAACAGTTTGGTATCTTATTGTTGAAACATTTCGCCTGCTCAGCAGGCTTCTTCATTTTTATACAGAGGCGACAAGACTTTGGGGACGGCAGAAGCAGTGAAGAGGTAAGGATGAAGTTGTCAGTCCCTCAGCCTTGAAGAGGTAAGGATGAAGTTGTCAGTCCCTCAGCCTTGAAGAGGTAAGTTTAAGATGGTCAGTCCCTCAGCCTTGAAGAGGTAAGTTTGAGATGGTCAGTCCCTCAGCCTTGAAGAGGTAAGTTTGAGATGGTCAGTCCCTCAGCCTTGAAGAGGTAAGTCTGAGGTGGTCAGTCCGTCAACCTTGAAGAGGTAAGGTTGAGGTGGTCAGTCCCTCAGCCTTGAAGAGATAAGGATGAAGTTGTCAGTCCCTCAGCCTTGAAGAGGTAAGTTTGAGGTGGTCAGTCCCTCAGCCTTGAAGAGGTAAGTTTGAGATGGTCAGTCCCTCAGCCTTGAAGAGATAAGGTTGAGATGGTCAGTCCCTCAGCCTTGAAGATGTTAGGTTAAGGTGGTCAGTCCCTCAGCCTTGAACAGTGTTCTGTGTTAATTCTCACCTCAGGTGAGCACAGAACACAGCCTTTGTGACTTTGTAAATGGTCCAAGTCGGACCGAAATGTCGTCGTAAGCTCCTCTCTTCCATGTGCGGGTTATTTGTGTACTGTTCCAGTCACAGTATTGTGCCTTTTGTTCTCTGTTATTGTCTCCGTGTCCCTCCCCCTAGGGTGGCACCCGGTGGCATTGAGCCAATTACTGTTGGACAACTTCTGGCTTAATTTTGTTCTGATTTATACCCATCTGAATTAGCTATTGTGTTTAGAAATACCGATACAGTGAGTCGCTGAGTATCTATTGCTTGTGTGTGTGTGTGTGTGTGTGTGTGTGTGTGTGTGTGTGTGTGTGTGTGTGTGTGTGTGTACTCACCTAATTGTACTCACCTAATTGTGGTTGCAGGGATCGAGACTCAGCTCCTGGCCCCACCTCTTCACTGAATGCTACTGGGTCCTCACTCTCCCCCTGCTCCATGAGCTTTATCATATCTCATCTTAAAGCTATGTATGGTTCCTGCCTCCACTACGTCACTTGTTAGGCTATTTCACTTCCTGACTACTCTATGACTAAAGAAATACTTCCTAACATCCCTATGACTCAGATGAGTCTTCAACTTCCAATTGTAACCCCTTGTTTCTGTGTCCCCTCTCTGGAACATCTTGTCTCTGTCCACCTTGTCTATTCTACGCACTATTTTGTATGTCATTATCATGTCTCCCCTGACCCTCCTGTCCTCCAGTGTGTGTGTAGTTACTAGTCGTCGAAGGCACTTGTCGATAGACACTTGACCTTTTTGTGCGTAGTAGTGTGTGTACTCACCTAGTTGTACTCACCTAGTTGTGGTTGCAAGGGTCGATTCACAGTTCCTGGCCCCACCTCTTCACTGGCCGCTACTGGGTCACTCTCCCTGCACCATGAACTTTGTCATACCTCTTCTTAAAGCTATGAATGGATCCTGCCTCCACTACATCGCTTTCCAAACTATTCCACTTCCTGACTACTCCCTGACTGAAGAAATACTTCCTAACATCTCTGTGATTCATCTGAGTCTTCACCTTCCAACTGTGTCCCCTTGTTGCTGTGTCCCATCTCTGGAACATTCTGTCTCTGTCCACCTTGTCAATTCCTCTCAGTATTTTATATGTCGTTATCATGTCCCCCCTATCTCTCCTGTCCTCCAGTGTCGTCAGGTCGATTTCCTTTAACCTCTCCTCGTAGGACATACCCTTTAGCTCTGGGACTAGTCTTGTTGCAAACCTTTGCACTTTCTCTAGTTTCTTTACGTGCTTGGCTAGATGTGGGTTCCAAACTGGTGCTGCATACTCCAATATGGGCCTAACGTACACGGTGTACAGGGTCCTGAACGATTCCTTATTAAGATGTCGGAATGCTGTTCTGAGGTTTGCTAGGCGCCCATATGCTGCAGCAGTTATTTGGTTGATGTGTGCCTCAGGAGATGTGCCTGGTGTTATACTCACCCCAAGATCTTTTTCCTTGAGTGAGGTATGTAGTCTCTAGCTCCCGTCTGCGGTCTTCTTTGCCCTTCCCCATTCTTGAAGATTGAGACACATTCATCACATTCCCCATTCTTCATGACTTTGCACTTGGTGGGGTTAAACTCCAGGAGCCAATTGCTGGACCAGGTCTGCAGCCTGTCCAGATCCCTTTGTAGTTCTGCCTGGTCCTCGTCCGATGGAATTCTTCTTATCAACTTCACATCATCTGCAAACAGGGAAACCTCGAAGTCTATTCCTTCCGTCATGTCGTTCACAAATACCAGAAACAGCCCTGGTCCTAGGACTGACCCCTGTGGGACCCCGCTGGTCACAGGAGCCCACTCTGACACCTCGCCACCTCGTGTGTGTGTGTGTGTGTGTGTGTGTGTGTGTGTGTGTGTGTGTGTGTGTGTGTGTGTGTGTGCGTGTGTGTGAATGTGCATGTGTGTACCTAGTTGCACTCACCTAGTTGTGGTTGCAGGAGACGAATCATAGCTCCTGGACCCGCCTCTTCACTGGTCGCTATTAGGTCACTCTTCCTGCTCCATGAGCTTTATCGTACCTCCTCTTAAAGCTATGTATGGATCCTGCCTCCACTACATCAGTCTCCACATTGTCCCACTTCCTGACAACTCTATGACTGAAGAAATACTTCCAAACATCCCTGTGACTCATCTGAGTTTTCAACTTCCAGATGTGACCCCTTGTTGTTGTGTCCCATCTCTGAAACATTCTGTTCCTATCCACCTTGTCAGTTCCTCTCAGTACTTTATACGTCGTTATCATGTCCCCTCTGTCCCTCCTGTCCTCCAGTGTCATCAGGTTGATTTCCCTAATCTTATCCTCGTAGGGCATACCTCTTACATCCGGGACTAGTCTTGTTAAAAGCTTTTGTACTTTTTCTAATTTCTTGACGTGTTTGACCTGTTATCTACCTACCTGGAGTCTACCTGGAGTCTACCTGGAGGGTATTCCGAGGATCAACGCCCCCGCTGCCTGGTCCATGACTAGGCCTCCCGGTGAATCAGGGCCTGATTCACTGATGACCGCACGTGGGTGGGCATGGGTTCTATACTGGCGCTGCATACTTTAATATAGGCCTGATGTACACGGTGTACAGTGTCTTCAATGATTCCTTAAGTTTGCCAGGCGCCCATATGCTGCAGCAGTTATTTGGTTGATGTACGCCTCAGGAGATGTGCTCGGTGTGATGCTCACCCCAAGAACAAAAGTATTCTTCATGCTACTCAGTTAGTGTGCAGGTGAATCTGCGACCTGAAGGGTCCTTAGGCAGTGGATAGGCCTCCCATTTTTATATTTATATAAAGAGGAAAACCTGTATTTGCCATTCAGCACAAGACGTGTTCCAGGCTCGATCCTCCGTCCACAGACTGCGAGGCAGAAACACTGTCACGTGTGTATCATCTGGGTATCTTTACTATGTAGACGTTTCGCCATCCAGTGGCTTTATCAATATACTAGGCGGACAGTGAGTCGGGTCGTCACTGTGGTCGTCCCCGGCATCGCTGACGGTCGTCTGCTCCTCTCCTCGCCTCTGAAGCTTATTCAGATCCATGGCGAAGAGCTATTGATTCTAACGAATTGGAACAACCCTTCCGTTCCTCTGACCAACTCTGAATACCAGCCATTCAGAAAACGTGAGTGCCAAGCACAAAGCAATAGAGAACTGTGTCTTCAGCAGCGTGTCAAGTGCCATCATTGTCTCTTCTTGCTGTGACACTGTGCCACAAATGGTCCTGCATACACTGAGAGGTGTATAAGTGTATATGTTCCGAGAGTTTACTTGAAATATCCTTGACTGATAAAATCCAAAAGCCGGTGCTAAAATTTCTGTTAAACGAAGCACCTAAAACAGGAAGAAGAAAAAGAAGAAAAGACAACGAAGGTCTCTCCCTTTTAAAGACAATGAAGACATCAGTCCTCACCTGCCTGGTGGTGCTCTGGGTATCATCAACTTGGACACTGGACACCAGGGTTTACCAGGGCGTCGCCTCCCACAGGCTTGAAGGCGACTTCCTCAGCATTGTGAGCTGTGGTAAGTGCACCTCGGGCCAATGTAACAGTTGTTTATACCCTTCAAGGGAAGGGAAGGGGGAGGGGAAGGGGACTTATGCCGTTAATGATAGTCCCGTTAATGATAGTTCTTTGATAAATGGAATTGAGTTACCATTTTCTTCCTTGGAGTAACCAGATCACTTCCCATTTCCCAGATGCTTTATAAATCATTATCCTTATAAATGTAAAGCCTTAAATTAAATATAATTTCAACAATTTATAATACAATAATAGGTTATTATTATTATTATTATTATTATTATTATTATTATTATTATTATTATTATTATTATTATTATTATTATTTAACCATTGCTTATGTGTAAATTGCCACTTTGATAATGACTAAATGAAGTTGAAGTTTTTTTTCGTTAATGTTCAGGGTACAGGTTTCATTGTGCTAGCTTGTGTCTGATGAGCACCCAGTGTGAGGCCTTCAACTGGGCCGTCAACACCTCCCTCAACAACTGTCAACTCATCCAGTATCCAGTAGCTGTTAGTCTCGTCCAGGACAAAGGCTATGATGTCTACATGGACAAGGAAGGTGAGTCAAGTTCATCCATGGGAAAGACTAGTTAGACTAGATAGTCATCCATGACCAATGATAATTAGCATATTTAGGAGAATTAGGTTAAATTAAACTATATTCATTGTAGCAAGGTCAGGGGGAATTGTTTATGTTAGTTTGATGCTAAATTTAATTTTTAACATTTTAAATTAAATATATCAAATGGGGATTATGCCTAAATTGATCATTTTGTCTTATATGGTGTAGTATACTGAGCCACAGAGCCTGAGCAAGTAGATAAAATAGTTTGGGAGAAAAATCTGAAGACGTCTCCTAGAATCCTTATGAATATTTTATTTCTCCTACCATTATATTGACACGTGTAATATACATATATATGTACATTTGTCAGTGCTCCATAATAACCCACATGGAGACAGAAACTCAGCAAATTAATTAGTCTGTATATTTCGACCCTATTCTGGGATCCTTTTCAGTAGAAGGGGGTCGAAATATACAGATCAATTGATATCTTAAGCTTCTGTTTCCGTATGGGCTATTATATATATATATATATATATATATATATATATATATATATATATATATATATATATATATATATATATATATATATATATATAAACAGGTAACATATACTACTGATACTGTTCTAATTAGAGATGTTTCGCTTATAACAGTAGCGGTGCCAGTGAGGCAGAACGTCTATGGTGTTTGGGGCACCTGGTCGCAAGATATGATGTGTCAGGCTGGCAGCTATGTGTATGGTTACTCTGTGTGGGTAAGTGAAGGACTTGTGGAGGTGGAGTAAGGAAGATGCGCACACACACACACACACACACACACACACACACACACACACACACACACACACACACACACACACACACACACACACACACACACACGATATTCACTAACATCTTCAGATTTACCTACACATAAGACAAGTTACAATATACCTCTTGTTTTCACCTTTGTATGAGTGCTCTTTTTCCAGCAATTACAGTCTTACGATAATAATTAAATTATTATTAGTAGTTGTAATAATAATAATAATAATAATATATCTTTATTTCTATAAGTACATATACAAGGTGAGAGTAAGACACATGTGCAACATCTGGGTATCTTTATTGTAGACGTTTCGCCATCCAGTGGCTTTATCAATACAAATTCCAGGACATAACTTGAAGACAGTAGAACTATGTACAGAAGATGAGGTAATCAGTCCCTCAACCTAGGAGTAGGTGCGAACAGCACCATAGTCGTGGAGATTCTGAAGCAGAAGAAAGAATCCTGGCGCTTATATAGTAACGTCAGGTGAAGCAGACGAGGGCAAATTCACTGGTGGGCGGGATTCCCCAGTGGAAGTAGGTCCTTCCCAAAGAGATGGGTTAGTTGTAGTAGTAGTAGTTGTCGTAGTTGTGAAGGTTATGTACATGATTCTTTCTTCTGCTTCAGAATCTCCACGACTATGGTGCTGTTCGCACCTACTCCTAGGTTGAGGGACTGATTACCTCATCTTCTGTACATAGTTCTACTGTCTTCAAGTTATGTCCTGGAATTTGTATTGATAAAGCCACTGGATGGCGAAACGTCTACAATAAAGATACCCAGATGTTGCACATGTGTCTTACTCTCATCTTGTCGGTATTATATACCATTCGTACACAACATATACAAGGTATACAGACCATAGCTGATATCAGTGACATACTATTATATAGAAAGCCGCTTGTTATGCTCTCAGAGTATTTCGGGCAAATTAGGTCAGTTTTGTCCCAGGATGCGACCCACACCAGTCTACTAACACCCAGGTACCTATTTTACTGAAGGGTGTCCTGTGTGAAGCGAGAGCTCTTGCCACCAGGTCACGGGCCTAGTAGTAGTAGTAGCATATGCGTGGAGAAGAACTAAACCCGTAGGGTCTAGTGCCTTGGCTCATGAGCCTTTCCTCGATAAACGTAGACCATTTCGAGCTACGCTGGTTTAAACTAATCTTTAGTACGAGAAACTTTAACGAATAAAAAAGTTTAAAGTCATTATACTTTATTTTTGACCATGTAGAAATTAAAATATATACACAGTATGTCAGAATAAAGTGTCTTAATGTATTGTCATTATCCATATAAAAAAATCATACCGAAAGGTGCACTTTAATCCATGATTTAAGGCTTAGAATATTCATGACTGGTGAATAAGTTATCTGTAACTACAATGACTGTCTTGCGGTCGACAGGCTTTACACCCAATTAACATAACCTATTCTGTGTTTGGCAGTATGATTATTATGATGGGTCAAGCATGACGCCAGATGACTGTGGTGTGACTGGGGTGATGTTCCTGTGCAGGACCCAACAAGAAACTCCCTCCAAGAACTTTTCCTACAAACAGCTCATAGCTGCTGGCGTTCAAAAGGGTTAGTAGAGGCGCCTCTTCAGACTGTGTTGAGACTACTAGTTTTCCTAAGACCATAATAATGGAGGAACACTGCAGGTCTATTGGTCCATTCTTAGCTGGTCTTATTCAAATCCAACCTTTTTCACTCGAATATGTTTCTGGCTTATTTTTAAAGTTTCCCCAAATGAGGGATTTCATGACAGAAATTACTACAATTACAATCCCTACCTGAACTCTCTCCTTCCTCCACGTATTATCACTGCCACTCCCTTCACCTATTGCCACCATCATCTACTACCATAGCACACAGCTACAATATATTTAGAGAAAATGACAGTTTGTTGAATAAGCTCTTATTTTGACTACACTGCGACCTGATAAGATCTCTATCAAGTTATACGAAATATACAAAATACATTTAATATGTATACTGCAGGGAGTAAAGGAAGTAGGGAGGCGAATGGAGTGTGATGACTCTTGGGTCGGCAGGGCACTAAGAGAGGTATTTCTAATACTCAAATGTCATCTCCTCTGTTCATTTCACCTCTCTTCCACTTGCCGCACTCCCATTCGCCTCGCCTCCATTTGCCTCACCCCGCCTCCACTCTCCTCGCTTCCACTCGCCTCACCTATCATCATCCATCTCTGTTTCACAGACACAGTTACATGCAGCGTTGGAAACTTCATCCAAGACATCAAGATCAGGTTCGCGCCCCCGAAGGGAAGCAAGTTAGACGATGATGCCTTGAACAACGTCGAGTTTCGCTGCCAGGACAACACTGTACTGAACAGCATCGGTACTGTCACAGACAGTAGGTATCTACTTCCAACACACCATTGTACTCAGTAACATCAGGATAAAGACACATAATTCGCGACATTTATGAGAGAAAACGTTTCGCCAAGAGTGGCTAAGTAATTGATGAAGACACTCATGGCGAAAAGTACATAAATGTCCTTTAAAACAGCGTGTCCGTATCACCATACCATTTGCAGCCTAACCAGCTGTAGCACCTTCTTACACTATCGATTTCTCTCAGTCTCTGCCTTTATGAAGGAGACCTAATGCCGGTGAGGAGGTTCGTGACCCTGAAATCAAGCCTGATTACCTCCCATTACTCAATTGCTGTGAGGCCCTTACGAGTTTAGCATTTCCCAATGATTGTAAACAAATTTCCAAGCCTACATCTGTCTCCCATCCTTAATCATTCCATCTTAAAAATATCCTCCTTTATTTTCCAACTTGTTCCAATTCGTTAATTTCGACCTTGTCTAAGCCCAAAATGAGCTATCAGTTTAGGTTATTGGGAAACCAAAAACTGGTAATTTCAGGCGGAGGATATGTTTCAAGATATATAAACCTCGGCTAGAGAAAATGGGCATATTCTTTCAAAATATCCGAGCAACGTGAAAAAGCGGCTCTGTATATTACAGTGTATGAAAAATCTAGATTACGAAAGTACATAAATGCTACTTGCATATATTTGCAAAAAAGTTATAGATCAGTAAGGAAATTTTCGTGCCAAAATTAAAAGAAAGACTTCCAAAACGTTCTCAAAGATTTTTTTTTTTTAGATATTGTCACCGGGGTGGCTAGCATATCGTGCACCCCATAGCTATCCTGTGGATGGTAGTGGCTAGTTTTCTGTGCACACAATATCTATTTCGGGGACTAGAGCAAGAGCCTAAATATACACAAAACGACTAGAATGAATATTTGTACATTATTCTCAAATCTTTTATGTGCCACCCGGAAGTAGTGTGATAAGGCTGGTATCTTCGGCAGGTTCGACAGGGACCTGGAGTAACTGGACTTCGTGTGTACCAGGGACGGTCCTGTGTGGAGCCAGGGTCATGTACGAGGCCCTGGGACAGAGTGACAACACATGCTGTAATGAGATATTAATGCTATGCTGTTTCCTGTAGTGGCCACTTCCCAATATATATAGGTCGTGCCGAATAGGTAAAATTGGTCAGTTAGCAAGAATTCATTTAAAATTAAGTCCTTACTAAAATTTTCTATAAAACATATATATTTTTTTCTTTTATGTTAATGTAAAAATTAATAATTTTGTACCAAAAGAACCTTACAAAACTTACCTAACCTTATTATAAAAAGCGTAATTTAATTTAGCCTAACCCAACTAAATGTATTTTAGATAAGTTTACAGTAATTTAATAACAAACAAACACAATGAAATATATTTTTTTTGTTAGGTTCGGAATGATTTTTGTGAAATTATTGAATGCACAAATTTTCGCTTGCCTTATTTGGCATTGCTATTTAAGCCAAAATCACAAGTTTTTTACCTATTCGGCACGACATTCATTATATATATATATATATATATATATATATATATATATATATATATATATATATATAATATATATATATATATATATATTATTATCACACTGGCCGATTCCCACCAAGGCAGGGTGGCCCGAAAAAGAAAAACTTTCACCATCATTCACTCCATCACTGTCTTGCCAGAAGGGTGCTTTACACTACAGTTTTTAATCTGCAACATTAACACCCCTCCTTCAGAGTGCAGGCACTGTACTTCCCATCTCCAGGACGCAAGTCCGGCCTGCCGGTTTCCCTGAACCCCTTCATAAATGTTACTTTGCTCACACTCCAACAGCACGTCAAGTATTAAAAACCATTTGTCTCCATTCACTCCTATCAAACACGCTCACGCATGCCTGCTGAAAGTCCAAGCCCCTCGCACACAAAACCTCCTTTACCCCCTCCCTCCAACCTTTCCTAGGCCGACCCCTACCCCGCCTTCCTTCCACTACAGACTGATACACTCTTGAAGTTATTCTGTTTCGCTCCATTCTCTCCACATGTCCGAACCACCTCAACAACCCTTCCTCAGCCCTCTGGACAACAGTTTTGGTAATCCCGCACCTCCTCCTAACTTCCAAACTACGAATTCTCTGCATTATATTCACACCACACATTGCTCTCAGACATGACATCTCCACTGCCTCCAGCCTTCTCCTCGCTGCAACATTCATCACCCATGCTTCACACCCATATAAGAGCGTTGGTAAAACTATACTCTCATACATTCCCCTCTTTGCCTCCAAGGACAAAGTTCTTTGTCTCCACAGACTCCTAAGTGCACCACTCACCCTTTTCCCCTCACCCTTTTCTTATATATATATATATATATATATATATATATATATATATATATATATATATATATATATATATATATATATATATATATATATATATATATAAGAACATAAGAATGGAGGAACACTGCAGAAGGCCTACTGGCACATACAAGGCAGGTCCTTGTCTTAAGTAAGACACATGGGCAACAGGCAACAGTTAGGCAACTTTATTTCGAAAAGTTTCGCCTAACTGCCAACCTGTCGGTATTATATACCACTTTGCCACTCCGTCAGACACCGCAACACAAAGGCATCCCGGTACAGAAGAGAAGACACCCCGGACAACTCCTTCAAGTGAGAATCGTTTGACTCGAGAGGGACGCGACCTCTCAGTGACTACATTCTCTCTTCTACCAGCCTGCACCCCTCCTTCCGACAGCATAAGTCTCGCTTATTTCTTCAGATTGTTTCAGACCACAGAACAGAACTCCACTCCAGGTAGAGAGACCGAGAACCTCAAATCTACGACTTAAAGGGTGGACCGATTACATCGTCTTCACATCTCCATCGCTCCCGCCCACCTTCTGCACTCGACTGAAGAAGGCCACTGTGTAGGCGAAACGCTTCGGAACAAAGTTGCCTAACTGTTGCCCATGTGTCCCACCCACCAACCTGTCGGTACCGTATGCCATTTTGACATTCAGTAGGCCTGCCGGCCCACACTAGGCAGGTCCCCCACAATCCATCCCACCAGCAGAATACATGCCCACCCCAATTTTCAATGCTACCCAAGCAACAAGAACATAAGAAAGGAGGAACACTGCAGAATAAACAGTACCCAAGCAATTAGCGTTGACAATATATATATATATACTATATATATATATATATATATATATATATATATATATATATATATATATGTCGTTTTGGTTTAATCGTTACTGACTACTCCTTATTGAAAATAGAACTGGCAAACTGAACATAGCACAATATTAGCATCGTATAACCTGAACACGAATGTAAACAAACCACGGAACGGGTGGGGTTTGAACCTATGGCAAGCGAATTTCACGACTCACAATGGATTTGAATCCCACCAGTTCCGTGTTTCGCAGAACTGAAAATTGTATATCTGTATGTGGCAAATCCTTTTTGGCAACCTTATTCATTAATTGCTTTGATGTGTTGAAAAGACAAAACACTCCTTATTAGTGTTTGAGTATCTGCGATACACTGCAAATCAAAGTTATCTGGAATCTTGGATTAATTTGTCATAGATGCGTTTGAGTTTACCCGAGAATTGCGTGCTATTTAAAAGTTTAGTGCTGGCCATGGTTATTTGTTTGTCAATAGATGTGTTACCTAGAAAGAAGCTCCACCCCTTCCCCAGCGTTGTATGACCCTAGTGGGTTTAGCGCTTCTTCTTTTGATTATAATAATCCAATCTTTCGTATGAAAACAGTTACAAAACACGACCGTGAAGAATATTAACTTACAGTACAGTGGTTGGAACACTTCACCAGGAACCTTCACTTATGACGACGTTTCACTCGATCCTGGACCACTGTCAAATCGCAATGGTCCAGCAGGGACCGAGACGTCGCCCTAAGGTTCCTCTCCCAAGTATGGAATTTTGTTTAATTGAAATACAACGGTCGCAGTATACAGAGGTGTGTATTTCCTTATGCATACACTTCAGAGTTTACTTAAATACCTACTTGACGTAGGTGTACTTGACATAGGTGTACTGTAGGTGCACTTGACGTAGGTGCACATGACGTACATGTAGGTATAACTGACGTAGGTGCACTTGACGTAGGTGCACTTGACGTAGGTGCACTTCACGTAGGTGCACTTGCAGCAATAATGATCCTAGTGCAGTCAGTAAGCCTTAAATTTTTCGAACTAAAACAAGGTTGAATGCTTTTTGACATCATTATCTCAAGTATGTGAAGCCAAAACACGGAAAGCCACAGTCAAAATCAATTTCACTGTTCAGGGGAAGGGAAGGGCTGCCTTGATGACGTTGAAGGGCTCTTAATCTACTCCACCCTTCCTTGCATCGAACCTGATTACTTCACATTCCCATACAGTAATAATCAAACTCTTTTATTACGCTTTCTGAACTTCCTAGGTCTTATTATCTGCTATCTTAAAGGAAGTAGCGGGTGTGATATATATGGGTGTTGCTATTATATTTAAGAAAAAGCGATAAAATCATAAGGATCATGCAGGGCCTGTGGATTCGATCAAATTTGATCACAGGAAAGGTGGGTATAATTATCCAGAATTAGGCAACATGCAAAACAACCACTGTGAAAAAAACAGTGAACTTCCAAGAGTTTTCGTGATTTCTCACATTATCACAGGTCTTTGATAATGTGAGAATTCATGAATGCGATTCGAAGTTTAATAATTTTTTCACAGTGGTGGCTTTGCATATTATGATATCACCTGTTTACTGTGATGTTATTGCATAGACAGTATATACACTGACTGACTACCTACAGTCAGCCAAAATACCCAGAGCTCACCGCGTGTAGATGGCTGCTCCTCCAGTTGCTGTAACAAGTTGTAAGTAAAATATCATAACAGTCTTGTATCTTTATTTCCTATGGTGATACATTCCCCTAGTGGGCGAAACGTTTCCTTAATAAAGTGTTCTTAGTGTCTTTACTTCCCGGTCCTGTTCTTTTAAGTCACCCCCCTCCTTAAAAATTCAGCAATAAACTACACTTGGGAGAGAAACGTTGTAACGACGTTTCGATCCGTCCTGAACCACTGTCAGGTCACAGGTGCGACAGGAGAAAGAAGACCAGAAGGCAGTGTGCGAGGGGGTGGAGGTAAGAGAGTAGTAGTAATAGTAATAGTAACAGTAGTAATAGTAATAGCAGTAATAATAATAGTTAATAGTAATAGTGGTAGTAATAGTAGTAGTAACAATAATAGTAATAGTAGTAGTAATAGTAATAGCAGAAATAGTAGTAGTAGTAGAAGATTATTAGAGATTAGATTTAGATTTTGCCGCCGAAGTAGCTAGTTTATTGTGCATCCCATATCCATCCTGTGGACGGTAGCACAAGAGCATATGGATACACAAAAGGCCTAGAAACTAGACCCCAAAAAGGTTAACAGGTGCACATATGGATTTATATCTACATAGCTACAGTTCACTTATAAACGTAGAAGTGGTATCTGTCAGCAAAATTAGCGACGGACGCTGTCCAGATGACTCAGTTATCGTCGTTGTTGGGAATAAACTTGCGCATGGTAGCCAGGTCACCGTGGGTCAGCGGGCCTCCATTGGTATACTCTTCATCGTTGACGTGGGCCGTCCTCTTCAAGGGGGGCTCCTTGGCGTGGTGAAGAGGCTCTTGGTCTGAGGAATTTGACCTGTCGGTCTTCTTCCTCAGACCGAACCTAATTACCCCCCAATCTCCCCTCCCCTATCCCATCCTCCCCTTCTTCCCTTTTTTCCATTCCTCCTCCTCCTCCCCACCCCTCCCTTTTGCCCTTCCTCTTTTTGGCCTTTGGGATTTCTCCCACAGGCGCACTAGTTCCTAGGTAGGGGAAAGGACACCGGGGTCCATCTCATTCCGATGAGGTTCTTGGCGGTGGCGTAGTTTGCCGTGGAATCTGGATCGCCTGGGGATGTCCCGATCCCTCTCCGGTATCCCGGAGTAGCTTTGGGTGTCTTTCGGGCGACGGGTGTATCTCTGGAAGCCACCTTTCGGATTCCGGGGGTGGTGGCCTAAGGAGGTATGCTTTGTGGTGGATATCCGGCTGCCCTCTCTTTTGTCCACCGCGGTAGCTCGGCAGATGTGAGGTTGTTGTCCCGGATTGCTGGTTTACTGGCATGAAGGGCAGGGTATGGCACGGGTTCCATGCTGCATCTGCGCTACTAGCGGTGCTGAGGTCCTCTTGGGCGTGGAGGGAGATTTCCGGCCCTTTCATTCCTCCTGGGAACTATTCCTCCCTGCTCCCCCCTT